ATGACAGTGATCAGTATGTACAGGAGAGGAGTGTGGGGGGTATGACAGTGTGCAGTATGTACAGGAGAGCTGTGTGGGGGGTATGACAGTGTGCAGTATGTACAGGAGGCAGCTGTGTGGGGGGTATGACAGTGGGCAGTATGTACAGGATCTCATCCGCACTAAGTAACTTTTTTATCTTTTAGATTTATTATCCCTTTAATGTCATCTGTTTTTTTTTTTTCCCTAGGAGTGCAGTTTCCATCGAATTCCCGGTGTTAATACATCAGATGATTACTTTGTGTCTGATCCGGGTGGGACGTGAAGGCCGTGTTCACTTCTCGGCTTCGCACACACCAATCCTCTAATTGGGAGTGTGAGTGACGGCTGCCTGTGACCCCCCCCCCCCCCCCACCCGACCTCTCAGAGCCTCAGGTGCTAAAACATCAGATTGGATTCATTTCACACAAAGGATTGTGGGACTTTAATCCGCATTCTTTACTGCCGCATGCAAAGGGGAGGAAATCCCATGACAGTCATCTCACTTCACCAGTTCCATCCTGTTAAAGGAGAACGATCAATCTTTACATCTTTAAATAAATTCAATGTATCTAAATACATATATATCTGTACATTTATAAATATCCTGTATATATATATATATACAGTGCAGGAAATGTGTATTTGCTCCCCTGCTGATGTTGAATGTTCGCCCCGCATAAAGAAATGATTGCTCTAAAAATTGAATGTTCGGTGTAACACTGAGAGACAGAATACAACAACAAATTCAGCAGAAATGCGTCTAACAAGTGATGACTGATCTGCATGTTCATGAGGGAAAGAAGGATTTGATCCCCTATCATTCAGCAGGATTTCTGGCTACCAGGTGTCTTTCATACAGATAACAAGCTGAGATTAGAAGCAGTCTCTTAAAGGGAGTGCTGCTAATCTCATTGTGTTACCTGTTATAAAAGACACCTGTCCACAGGAGCCATCAAACCATCAGATTCCAAACTCTCCACCATGGCAAAGACCAAAGAGCTGTCCAAGGATGTCAGGGACAAGATGGTAGACCTACACAAGGCTGGACTGGGCTACCAAACTATGGCCAAGCAGCTTGGTGAGAAGGTGACAACAGTTGGTGCAATCATTCACAAATGGAAGAAACACAAAACAAGTGTCAGTCTCCCTAGGTCTGGTGCACCATGCAAGATCTCACCTCGTGGAGTGTCAATGATCATGAGAACAGTGAGGAATCATCCCAGAACTACACGTGAGGATCTTGTCAATGATCTCCAGGCAGCTGGGACCACAGTCACCAAGAAAACAATCGGTAACACACTACGCCGACAAGGACTGAAATCCTGCAGTGCACAGTATATAAATATTATATATATATACACACACAGTACATACATATATATATATATATATATATATATAAAGTACAGACATGAAATATGGAACAGCAAGAATGTAAAAATCTCTTTTTTTTTTCAGTCTGAAATTTCCCTGCAGCAGATACATGGGCCTAACTGCTTGTCCACTGGGGCCATTTATTTGTGATTGACAGCTGCAGCTGCAAATGGTGGCATGGGTAGGGCTGCTGGAAATGCAAAATCACGTATATGTATATATGATTTTGCACTGCTGCCGCCCTGTAGCAGTATTTCTACCGAACTATATTGTATAAAATGAATTTTTGTGCACTTTTCCTGAAATTCTGCATTTGACAACCTGCTGCACAAATATCATGTGACATAAAAATATGCAACAGCCAACATTTTATTCTTCATTTCTTTTTGCCTCCCTCTTACCCCAATTTCCTAGGTAGCGGCCAGTAAATACCATTTATTAAATACAGTCCTGAGTATATGAGCTCAGAAATGTCTACTGAACCGTGAACATGCGACTTGTGTGTGAACCATAAAAAGCCGGGGTCCTCAAACTTTCGAAACAAAGGGCCAGTTTACTGCCCTTCAAACTTTAGTTGGGTTGGACTGTGGTCAGTGGGAGTAAAAAAAATTACAAAACTGGTGTCAGTGGGAGGAATGGTGCCCCATCATTGGTGTCAGTGGAAGGAATAGTGCCTCATCATTGGTATCAGTGGGAGGAATAGTGCCCCATCATTGATGTCCCTGGGTGGAATAGTGCCCATCATTGGTGTCAGTGGGAGGAATAGTGCCCCATCATTGGTGTCAGTGGGAGGAATAGTGCCCCATCATTGGTGTCAGTGGGAGGAATAGTGCCCCATGGGTAGGAATAGTGCCCCATGGTGTCCGTGGGAGGAATAGTTCCCCATCATTGGTGTCAGTGGGAGGAATAGTGCCCCATCATTGGTGTCAGTGGGAGGAATAGTGCCCCATCATTGGTGTCAGTGGGAGGAATAGTGCCCCATCATTGGTGTCAGTGGGAGGAACAGTGCCCCATCTTTGGTGTCAGTGGGAGGAATAGTGCCCCATCATTGGTGTCCCTGGGAGGAATAGTGCCCATCATTGGTGTCAGTGGGAGGAATAGTTCCCCATCATTGGTGTCAGTGTGAGGAATAGTGCCCCATCATTGGTGTCAGTGGGAGAGGAATAGTGCCCCGTCATTGGTGTCAGTGGGAGGAATAGTGCCCCGTCATTGCTGTCAGTGGGAGGAATAGTGCCCCATCATTGGTATCCCTGGGAGGAATAGTGCCCCATCATTGGTGTCAGTGGGAGGAATAGTTTGTCCCATTTCCACATCATTGGTGTCAGTGTGAGGAATAGTGCCCCGTCATTGGTGTCAGTGGGAGGAATAGTACCCCATCATTGGTGTCAGTGGGAGGAATAGTGCCCCATCATTTGGTATCAGTGGGAGGAATAGTGCCCCATCATTGGTATCAGTGGGAGGAATAGTGTCCCATCATTGGTATCAGTGGGAGGAATAGGTGAATAGTGCCCCATCATTGGTGTCAGTGGGAGAGGATTGTGTCAGTGGGAGGAATAGTCCCATCATTGGTGCTGTCAGTGGGAGGAATAGTGCCCCATCATTGGTGTCAGTGGGAGGAATAGTGTCCCATCATTGGTATCCCCATCAGTGGGGGAGGAATAGTGCCCCATCATTGGTATCAGTGGGAGGAATAGTGCCCATCATTGGTGTTCAGTGGGAGGAATAGTGCCCCATCATTGGTATCAGTGGGAGGAATAGTGCCCCATCATTGGTGTTAGTGGGAGGAATAGTGCCCCTCATCATTGGTGTCAGTGGGAGGAATAATGCCAAAAGGGGTGGATAAAGGCAAACAAAGGGCCACATCCAGCCCAGTTTGGAGACCTCTGGTGTAAAGTTAGGAAACTTTTTTTTCCTTGTAACATGTGTTAAACTTTTTAATTCCGAGGACCGTCTGGAAATGGGTGACCTTTTTAAGGGGCTGAATTTCGATCTCTCTCGCAGACGAAATAATGTTCTTTGTTTTCTTCTTCTTGCTGACAAACATTCTCTGCATCGCATCCTCCAAGGAGTTCAATTCAATGAGAATTTCTGCTCGGCTCCTGCGTTCTGTTTCCACGGCAACAGGCGCCCGCTGCAGAATGATATATTGTGGTGAGACCTGAACAGCTACTGGATACATGGCGGTGCGCTAATCACGCAGGTGTCGTTCTGCCGCGACCAGGAGACCGAAAAACAAAAATTAAAAAAAAATCGGTCAGCTTTTTGGTCAATTTTATTTTTACTTTCTAAGTGAAAAAGTTCTCAACTGTACATTGTATCGTTATCTTTTCTCATATTTTATACATTGTATACCGAACAAGAAAGCCCAGCATTTGCATACCTACCAACATATTAGACCCAGTCTTCAGGATACTGTCGCCCCCCCCCACCCACTTGACACGCCCACTTACTGGGTTGTCCCGCCCAGTCTACACCCACTTTCTGGTGCTCTTCCCATATTATGCTACCACCCTTTTTTTCACTTACTGTGCACTCTCAGCAACTCCAACAGGAGCGATACGGTGATCCCGGGAACACAGCATCATCAGGAGGTCCAAAATGCGGGACTGGCAAATCCAGGACTGTTGGTATCTTTTCATTGCCCTGTTACCTGCTCATGGAAAATTTAAAGGGGCACTACTCCACTGACAGTGACGTAATATTTTCTTATAAAGTACAGAAGGCAGGCTATTCACCACATACACTTATATTGCCAAAAGTATATTGGCCCCGCCCTCCAAATCATGTGATTCAGGTGTTCCAAATCCCCTCCAAATCATGTGATTCAGGTGTTCCAATCCCCTCCAAATCATGTGATTCAGGTGTTCCAATCCCCTCCCAATCATGTGATTCAGGTGTTCAAATCCCCTCCAAATCATGTGATTCAGGTGTTCCAATCCCCTCCCAATCATGTGATTCAGGTGTTACAATCCCCTCCAAATCATGTGATTCAGGTGTTCCAATCCCCTCCATGGACACAGGTGTATACAATCAAGCCCCTAGGCATGAAGACTGCTTCTACAAACATTGGTGAAAGAATGGGTCGCTCTCAGGAGCTCAGTGACTCCAAGCGTGGTCCCGTGATAGGTGGCCACCTGTGCAATAAGTCCATCCGGGACATTTCCTGGCTACTAAATATTCCACGCTCAAACGTTGAAAAAAAAGTACAAGGTTGCCCAGTAACAAGGTGAAAAGAAAACCCAAAAACTACACAGTTGGTGGGAACACCCAAAAATTACAGGGTTGGGGCCTGTAACACCCGAAACTGCAAGGTGGGTAGAAACACTCAAAGCTACAAGGTGGGCAGGAGCTTTCAAAACCATAAGGTGGGGGAAAGATCCAAAACCACAAAGTGAGGAGGAGGAAACAGAAAACTACAAGGTTGGGGGCACACCAAAAAGTACAATGTGGGTGGGAACACACAAAACTACATGGTGGAGGGAAGACCCAAAACTACAAGGTGGGGGAAGTCCCAAAACTACAAGGTGGGGGAAGACCCAAAACTACAAGGTGGGGGAAGACCCAAAACTACAAGGTGGGGGGAAGACCCAAAACTACAAGGTGGGGGAAGACCCAAAACTACAAGGTGGAGGGAAGACCCAAAACTACAAGGTGGGGGAAGACCCAAAACTACAAGGTAGAAAGAAAATAGAAAACTACAAGGTGGGGGACATCTAAAACTACATAGTAGAGGGGGAAACCCAAAGCTCCATAGTGGGGGGGAATGACCAAAACTACAATGTAGGCAAAAACACCAAAAATTACAAGGTGGGCAAGAAGACACAAACCTATAAGATGTGGAAACAGGAGTAGGGGGGAGACACCAAAAACTACTACAATGTGGGGAGACCCAAAAAGACCAAAAAACTTACAAGGTGAAGTAGGGGGGAACAGAAAACTACATGGTGGGGGGAAGACCCAAAACTACAAGGTGAGGTAGGGAGGAAGAGAAAACTATATACTGAGGGGGCACCCAAAACTACAAAGTGGGGTAAATCTAAATCTAAATTGTGGAGGGGGGGGGGAAGGCACCCAAAAAACTACATGGTGGGAGGTGAATCCCCAAAATTACAAGGTGGGCAAGAAACACCTAAAACTGCAAGATGGGCTTGAACACCCAAACCAACATATTGGGTAGGAACACTTAAATTTACAAGATGGAAAGAAGAGCCAAAACTGCAGGGTTGTCAGGAACAACCAAAATTACAGGGTTGGCCAGTAACACCCAAAAGAGCAAGGTGGGTTGAAACACTCAAAGCTACAAGGTGGGAACCTTCATAGCTAGAAGGTGGGGGAAAGACCAAAAACTACAAGGTGGGCTTGAACACTTCAATTTACAAGATGGGTTTAGGAACATTCAACACTACAAGGTAGGAGGAAAAACCCAACACTAAAAGGTTGGTGGGAACATCCAGGATTACAAGGTTGGCCAGAAACGCCCAAGAGTACAAGGTGGAAAGAAACGCTGAAAGCTGCAATGGGCAGAAACACTGAAACCTACCAGGTGGGCAGAACACCCAAAATTACACAGTGAGTGGGAACATCCAAAACTACAAGAAGGGGGCACCTGAACAACGTGGTGGGAGAAGATGTTCCTGAACACCCAAAACCACTAGACCCCCCCACCTTAGCTGAAAAGTTACACTTGGGTGGAGTGGCCCTTTTAAGCTCACTGAGATAAAAAGAAAACCAACAAGACAGATCTACGGAGACGTGTTTTGTCCTAATTACCCAACAAATTAGGACACAGCGCATTACCAGCCAGAGAATCAATGGGATCAATACTTAACTCTTCAACGGGCTCAAAGACGACGGATCATGAAAGAAGATTGCTGATCTTCAGAACTTACAGCGGCATCCAGGAGACAAAGATTCCAATTTACCTCCATAATGTTGGTTTCTGGAACTGTCCTATTTCTGGCACTGAGAGAAGTCCCTGTAACTTTTATGGACAGGGAAGGGGGCGTCCATTACTGTATCATTTTGCATTGATGACAATGACTGTATAAAAGAAGCCACCTGCGCCATTTAGAAGCCCCAAAGCCGGGTCACCCCTACTGGGAAACAGGGTGTCAGAAGCTAGGAAGGGGTTCGTCTTAAGTCCTGGAAGCCAAACAGCTGGTGGCACTATGTTAAAATTCAATTGCTGGCAACTTTATTGATCCATATGGGCAAACAAGGAGTCCAAACTGGGAGCCTTCAGCCCTCCACAGAGCACCCTAGCCTCCCACAGTGCCCCCCCTTCAGCCCTCCAAAGTGTCCCCACACCTCCAACATTGTCCCACAATGCCCCCCAAACCTCCCACCTTGCAAAGTACCTGCCAGCCTGCTGCCGGGTCATGACCTCCCCTCTCCAGTGCCCCCCACCAACTGCAGATCCCTTAACCTCAGATAGTGCCCCCAACCTCCAATAATGGTCCGCAATGCCTTATGTCCCCTGAAAGCCCTCACCCTCCACAGTGCCACCCAGTTTCCCACAGTACCCCCAGCCTTCTGCAGAGCCTCCAGCTCTCCACAGTGCACCCCCAGTCTGTTGCAAAGCCTTCAGCCTTCCAAAGTGTCCACAACCTCCAACAGTGTCCCACAGTGTTCCCAAGCTCCCAGAGTACCCCCCCCCCCCCAGCTATCTGCTTGGATGTTACTTCCCCTATTCAGTGCCCCCCACCAGCTGTAGATCCCTGAACCTCCCATAGTGCTTCCTAATGCCAAAATTGGGCCCACAGTGCCTCATGCCCCTTGAGAGCCCTCAACCTCCACAGTGCCACCCAACTTCTCACATGACCCCAGTCTACATCAGAGCTTCCAGCCTTCCTCAGTGCAGCTCAGCCTCCCACAGTTCCCCCCAGCCTTTTGCAGAGGCCTCAGCCTTTGCAAAGTCCCCAGCCTCCAACAGTGTCCCACAGTGCCCCCAAGCACCCAGAGTACCCCCCCAGCTTGCTGCCTGGCCATGACCTCCCTTCTTTAGTGCCCTAGCCAGCTGACCATCCCTTAACCTCCCATAGAGCCATCAACCTCCTATGATAGCCCACAGTGCCCCATGCCACCTGAGAGCTCTCACCCTCCATAGTGTCACCCCAGCCTGTTGCTGAGCCTTCAGCCCTCCATAGTGTCCCCATCCTCTAACAGTATTCCACAGTATCCCCAAGCTCCCAGAGTACCACCCCCCCCCCCCCCCCCCCCCCAGCTGCTGCTTGGCCATAATTTCCCCTATTTGGTGTCCCCCCCCACCACCTGCAGATCCCTGAACCTCCCATAGTGCCTCCAAACTCTGATCATGGCCCACAGTGCCCCATGCCCCCTGAGAGCCCTTAACCTTCACAGTGCCACCCAACTTCCCCCAGTACCACAGTTTATGTCAGAGCTTCCAGCCCTCCACAGTGCACCTAAACCTTTCGCAGTGCCCCCCAGCCTGTTGCAGAGCTCTCAGCCCTCCAAAGTGTCCCCAGCCATCAACAAATTCCCACAGTGCCCCCAAGCTCCCAGGGTAGCCCCTCTCCCTAGCTTGCTGCCTGGCCGTGACCTCCCGTCTTTGGTGCCCCAGCCAGCTGAAGATCCCTTAACTTCCCATAGCGCCCCCAACCTCTCATAATGGCCCACAGTGTCCCCGTTCCCTTTGGCAGCCCTCAGCCACCAAAGTGTCATCCAACGTCCCACAGTGCCACCCAATCTCTCACAGTGCCCCCAGCCCCCCTTTTATCCATTCCAGAACCCCAATCCACCCACAGTGCCACCTAGCCATTGTAGGGCCACCAAGTCTGTGACGGGAGTCACTTTGGGTTGGGGGCCCATGGAACACAGCTCACTTTGGAGAGGTGGGGAGACCCCTGTCTCAGCTCCCCATATCCCTATTATGTGTAAGTCACCCTGTGCCTGTTAGGGGTACAGGGTGATCTGTCCTAATATTGGGGTGGGGGGGTTGTTGTTTAATGCATGTGGTTGCATTCCATTGATCTATTGTGTATCTTGCTTGGGAGCAAACTATTATGGGATGTATGTGTTTATGTTTATTGGCTTGGTGGGGGGGGGTGTCTCCAGCAGCCCTCCCTCCTGATGGGACTGTCTGCTGGTGTGTCTCCTGTTACTAAATGTAGAGTGCCCTGCCCTGTGTCATTATGCGGGGGGGGGGTTGTTCCCTTGAATGTATATCTCCTCTCCTCAGCTTTCGACACAGTCGACCACCCCCTCCTCCTCAAAAAATGACACTTCCTTGGCCTCAGAGACTCCGCTCTCTCCTGGATCTCATCCCCTACCTATCACAACGCTCCTTTAGTGCACCTCCCCCTCACTCCCCCTCTCTGTTAGGGCGGTTTCCCCTCCAAGGCTCTGTCCCTAGGGCCCCTTCTCTTCTCCTATCTTACAACCTCCTCCCTTGGCCAACTCATACACTCTACACAGCTTCGACTACCAACCTCTATGATGCCCGCCGACACGTTACCAAGCCGTCAGCAAATCTATCTCTCGACCTTCCCCACCCTCGACCCCCTCGGTCACCTTCACGCCCCGAATCACAAGCTTAACTCGAGGCGACATATCAGATTGGATGTCGCGTGCCACATTTCCTTTAAACTTGAAGCCTTCCAAAACGAAAACCGAGCTCCTAGTGCTTCCCCCCAGCGCTACGCACACCCCCCCCCCCCCCGCCGCAACTGCGCACTTCTCATCACGCTCCAATCAATGCCACTATCAGGCCCGCCCCTGCTGCCAGAGTAGCTTGGTGTCATTCTGGACTCCGAACAGCTAATCCTTCCAGCCCCAAGTCCATCTTTAACAGAACTCGTGCCAACTCGTCGCTTGTCCGGCCTACCGCAACATCTAATCTTCCAAAAACCGCACTTTCCCTTTAACCCCAGAAAACCCTAAACAGCTATCCATTCCATCATCTTTTCCCCCCCTGGACTACTGCAATTTCCCCCCCCCAACGGTGCCTCCCGCGGGCTATCCCCTTCAGCCCATTAAATTAAAGGGGTTTGGGCCGGGATCTTTCACCTTCCAAACCGCTCCGTTTCTGCCCCCCCCCAAAACTGCCAATCCCTCCACTGGCCCCCAATTTCGGGGTCCCCCCCCCCCCTTTGCCAACCCCTCCATTTGGCCCCCATTAGTGTCCTCCACCCCCTCTGCCCAACCCTCCACGGGCTTCCGTTTGCCCAACGGATTAAATTCAAAATCCAAAAAACGGGACGTAAAAAAGGCCGGTCCAAAAACG